TCATAGTTATCATATGAGAACGACTAATTATACTACCTTACTAACAAACAGAGGTAGTCTTTCTAGCATCACAAGCCACAGTAATGGAATCGAGTTATCGTAACAATGAAAGCATCACACTTTATTTGACTAGTCAACTGAAAGCATGTTGGAATGTGTCAACACTGAAAAGTTTTCGTTAGAATACAATGGAATGCAGTAATCGATTGGATGTGTAAAAGTTTCACGAGTGTGAGGATATGAATAGAGTTCGATTATTATCGGTTGAGGAATAGGAACGATAGTCAAGACAAACGACTGATTAGCAAGCATGTTGCAGTTAGGTGGTGGTAAGGCCGTAATTGTATTCGTTTGAAATGAGGAACAAAATATGTGAACGAGATGCTATGTGGTTAATTGATAAGCATCTACACAATAGACAAGAGATTCAGTAAACGATTTCTAATGAGAATTATCTACACAGAAAAATACAACACACCTTCCACAAAATTTGAACTTTGTCGAATTAAGACTAGTCTGGATTATTCGTTTCAGTTATTCATATCTATTTAGGAGGTCAAATACTTCTACAATTCAAAAACGTACCTATTTATACATTATTGATCATTTGTTACTTACTTACTTACTTACTTACGCCTGTTACTCCTCGTGAACGAGAATAGGCCGCCCATCAGCATTCTCCATCCAACCCAGTCCTGGGCAATCCTTTCTAGCGCCTTCCAGTTGTTATTCATCTTTTTCATGTTTGATTCTATTTCCCGACGTGGTGTGTTCTTTGATCTTCCTCTTTTGCGCTTCCCTTCAGGATTCCAAGTTAAGTCTTGCCTCGTAATGCAGTTTGACGATTTGCACAATGTATGTCTTATCCGTTTCCATCGTCTATTCCTAATTTCTTCTTTAGCTGGAAGCTGGTTTATTCTCTCCCACAGAAGGCTGTTGCTGATGGTATCCGGCCAATGGATGTTGAGTATCTTGCGTAAACAACTATTTATAAATACTTACACCTTCTTGATGGTGGTTGTTGTAGTTCTCGCAGTTTCAACTCCGTACAGTAGAACTGGCTGTCTTGACGTTGGTATTGAAGATTCTGACTTTGATATTGGTTGAAAGTTGTATTGAGTTCCATATGTTCTTCAGTTGTAGGAATGCGGCCCTTGCTTTACCACTCTTCCAATGAATTTCATTTTGCTCACATAAACCGTTGCTGTACAAATGGATACGTTGCAACAAATAACATGGATTTCTCACTACGGATTTATCTAACACATGTGAGAAGATAATATAGAACATTGTGCTATTTCAATTAGCTGAATTACATAAGTTCATGCGTTTCCGATTTGCGTGAGGAAATGGAGTGTCTGTAATTGGCAGTTCTAACGAAACTAGGAATGATTAAGCGAATTGAAATAAGAAAATCAACAATTTCTCTCAATTATCAAGATAATCCTTCTTCTTTTGTCTTTACAACATAAACCTGAATTGTGAACATTTGTTTAGGAATTTAGTAGTAATGGTTTTCAGAGATAAATTAAATCAAAATGAACTGTACAACGGTCCTAGTGTGGTATGAGTTGCACATTGAGTTATTTTGACCATCAGTACTCATGTTTCGATTCACCTCGACACAAAACCACCTTTACATCATACTTGATAAGATTACAATGGGATTGTGAACATGTTTGTAGTCCTGGTAAATACGCCACCACCATATTCATGTAAGGCTGAAACATTCACATCTCCGTCAGTCAGAGACACATTTCATCAATTAATCTTGATGAGTAAAGCGACTGAAACCAGTGATTGGATGAAAGACATCAGCATCTAGGAATTCATTTGTCATTAATATAGGTTTTCAGAAATACTTCCCTCATGATTCACCATGTGAAGCATGTAGACTAAAGTAATTTTGAAAGCTATTTTGACGAACGTTTCATGGAATGAAAAGTGTTGTTTCACCTCACTTTCTCTAACTTTACTTAGATTGTAAGTACAAAATATTTAGAATACTAGTGAAAGATGAGCTTCGATTCCTTAACGAATCAAAGTAATTCACACATACTTTCTTGTCTGTCGCGCTATTCATGTTTTGAAACGAATATTCGATAGTGTTTTGTTTTGTAAGTATGATGGGTACAGTTGGTTTACGAAAACCGAAATCTTGAATTGTTCACTTCCAATTCACAAAAGTCAGAACTAGACTAATCGACCATTCTGTTTCATAGATGATCTTAATGCATACATATAGAGAGTATAGGCAATAAGTATTTTGGTGAATATATTGATCTACAATCAGACATAATGTGCAGCTGAATTGACTGGGATAATAAGGGAAGAATTCATATGTAGGCATCTCATTCATCTTTGGTAACAGTACGAGATGCATCGTTGTGTGATGTTTGAATGAACTAATGATTCCTTTGCGCTTTTTGAATGATTGATCTCGAATTCTAAATTCAGTACATACGTTTATGGTTATCTAGTACTTCTTGATCCCATTACGTTATTTCTGGTATTCTTAGTTCATACTGTAATTCAAATACTCCTAATCATCGTATTGGCGTCGCGATCGAGCCTGTGATGGAACGGTTGGACGTACATTCAGATTTTGATGCATTTTAGGACTATTTTGAAAGGTTCGAAATTTGGGCTATGCTCAAGGAAGATGATGAGGATGATAATATTGTAGCACATTTCCTCACATTCATCGGAAAAGAAACATACAGCTCATAAAGAACTCTGGCTATACCGGAAAAGCCTATCTCGCTTCCTTATACAACTCTCAAGGAACTGCTGCTAGACTATGTTAAGTATACAAATTTCGAATGCGGTAAAGGTGGAAGATCGTGTAAAATGATTCGTGAGGATATAAAAAATTCCACTACATTACTACGTCATCCCAACCCAGTGCATACTCAGAGCTATACAAATAATTCATTGAGGAGTTGCGATGCAGTTCACGAAGATGTGCAGAAGTTTGGTCAATGTTTGTCCTGTGACAAGTTCCACTCCTTTAATTCATGTACATTTTATAATTATAAGTGCTTTAAATGTGGTTATATTGGACATATTCAATCTGTAATACTACGGTTCATCTTATTGCAACTAATATTAAATCTTGTAATTCTGATTCTACTGAGTCGAGTATTCATAATGATCATTTATCTTTATCACCGATTTTAAAAGACAGTGTTGAGTCATATAGCAAATCGGAGTTAAATGAAATCCAGAGTCCTTGTGAGACAACGGTTTTTAATCAATCAATTTGTCAGAATTCTCATATTATTGTATCAGGTATGGCTTTTTCTAACGATTCACTTATTTCTGACGAAAATGCTTGCAAATCTGAGGAAAATATATTGAGTGATTCTAGTCATGATCGAAAACTTGATGTAGTTTTGATAGATGCTGATTTTTCTAATGATCAGTTACTGTGCAACTACATTCTTAATAAATTTGAGGAAACTATTTCAGAAGAGTCAAAGTTTGATGTCATATCAAATATTATTTGTCTTCATAATGCATTTGTTTCTTGTGGGAAACTTGTTCAATGAGAAGCACAAGTACTAAATGACCTGGATTTTGGTTACAATTCGGATGATTTCATATCAACTGCTGTTCATCCTTATCACAAATCCACTTCCAATGTATACTCTAATCAATGTGCGAAATATATTTTAAATGAAGCCACATTATTCATAACTTGGGGGTATAAATATCCAACATAATTTTGTGGGGGAAGATAGTGTTTGGAAATCTGTGCTTTAAATTCTAGATAGTGGTTGCGGTACACGACCAACACGGCGATTGTATACGATCGCAGGAACCAAGTAAGTTTGTTCCGATTTCGGTTGTTAATTCCATTACTAATGAGCACATTATAGATAATACCGAGTTTTTATCCAATACAATGTCGGACAGACACAGAATGAACTTAAGAAGAAGACGTACAATCGATTATAGACACTTGGACTATAATTTAACCTGTAGCGGATGTGGTGTTTGAATGAACTAAAGATTCCATTGTCCTTGTTGAATGTTTGATTTCGAATTCTAAATACAGTAAATACATTTTTGGTAATCAAATACTTCTTCATCCGGTGACGTTATTTCTGGGATCGTTCAAATACTCCTAATCAAAATAAGTTGCCTGATGGAATGTCTGCTAACAATTGATAATATGATACACAGTTTAATGGAACATAAGAAGTAAACATTTTAAATGTGATCTATTCATGCTATCGAAAAACTATATTAACTTAATCTATCTTCAGTGGTTAAATAAACATACTGCAGTTTATAAATTGCAAGTTCTTCTATTAGATACATAAATGCATATGAATATACTTCTAATGTCTGTGATAACTTCATATAGTGAAACGATAAGTAGTTCAGGTTATCTGAAATATTTGGACGTTGAATCCAATAGGTTGGTTAATGCTAGATAATTGCACAGAATTTCCACAGTCACAGATTATGTGCATTGTATACATCGATTCTGAAGGTGCGTCAATGAAGAACCAACCTATCAATTCATATTTGTCATTGAAATATTCTCCACATTATCATTTAACGACTCACACTCATGATCCTCTTCTACAGTGGCTGTGCACTAAATACGATTCGAAAATTACCTAATATTACATAACAACTATCTGTTTCGATTATTGCTTCCTACTAAATACATCCACTAGCAACTAGAAACGACAATGATATTACCCATCCTGAAATACACTTATATGACGAGATATAAAGAGAAAACACTCTCGGTCTTCTGCACGAATAACTGTTTATTTGAATAGTTTACTAATAATGATGATGTTTCAATTTCGATTTTGAAACACTACCACATACAAAATTACCACACACAAAAGCACACACACACTGACAATAATATGATAATAGATCAATCAGTACAAAATACAATGTGGAAACACAATCTCAGTTATACTAATATACATTCTGTTCTGTTCTGTGGTCTTCATTCAAACTGTATATTATTCTGTGTTTGTTCTTAGAAAGATGAAGTTGGGAATTGATGAGTACTAGAGAAAATGGTGTTTGTGAATATGATTGGGTTGAGTTGCGTGCAGAATGATCAGATGCGTGTTACAATGTTTGATTTAGTTTCTGATGATATTTCTCTTGTTATCTTGACTTTCTCAGAATCAACCAGATTTAAAGAGAAGAAACGCATTATCTCCAAGATAAAAATAGATGAAATGTTTGGTTTCATGCGTCACATAACTGCAATGAACAAAAGAAATTGAAAAACCAGTTAGCAACATATAAGCAAATTTCAGAACATGAAAATCTTACGAACTTCATTTGCATCTACTAATTCAGAACATGAAATTCCACCGGATGCATAGAACGACAAAATCAGATTACAGACCCATCAAAATATATAGTTTGAATTACTTGAGCATTGGATGTAGAAATATAAGTAATCAAGATGTCACTGTTGATAAGTGCTTAGTGGTTTTCATCGTTTATCATTTTGATCTAACTGTCTGTCATTCAACTAAGTTTGATTTGTAATTGTTACTCTGCGGACTGCTGCACAATTCATGAATGAATTACTTAATCCAACACTGATGTTGCTTTTGATTCCTACATCCAGTCAAACTGACATCTGTGTTTTCATCGAACGTTTTGCAACTACACTAACTGGACGTATATTGTCCATAAATTAGACATTCTATTTATAAACAGAGTCAATGACTGAATTAATATAGATATAAAAAACATTGACATTAAACGTGGAAGTATCTTCTGAATGATCAGACAGACATAATGTTCATTCAAAACCAGACTGTTCATTTATAGAAACAAATAAAATGTTATATTAATTTTCACGCCATTGAAAGAGATCTCTTCTTAGGTGTGGTTCAAATTGTTCTCTACCATTTACACTTTTATAATGTTTGTTATTTCTCAGTGATTTTGAGAATCATTTGATGAATTGAATCAAACTAACATAATCCTGTTAAAAGATCGTAACTGGTGATCCATTCTCATCCTAGAATGTATACGATGGAACTGAGAATCGTTTATTTTGGTGACCCAAATACGCAAGTGTATATGGGAGGAAAAAATGCATTACAGAAATGCGATAGAAAACATAGTAAAATGAATGCTGTCCAATTATATGTATACTATCGACTTCCAATAAAATTACATAATTCCTTATACACCGTTACAATCTCTACATTATAACTTCAAATGATTTCTGTCTTGGCATAGACACTGAGTGAATAACATTGATTACATATTAATAATGAATAAATATTTATGTCGAGTTACAAAATATTACTAACCTTCCGAAATTTCTCCCAACAATACAATGCCATGTAGGATTGTATTTCTTGTCAAATTCTTTCTTAATGAATGCTGCTATATCTTTTTCCACACTATATTTCTCTAAAGCTTGTGCAGCACAATCAACAGCCTCTTGTTGCATATCATCGGACATATCGGCATTTTTCACTACTGCTTTATGTTCAGACATCATTGTTCTCTAAAAGATTTCTAATATGTATGCGGATGAATTGAGTAGCCGTTCACTAATTGTCTTCACAGTGCTACCTTATAATAATTTCTAATTCCAAAACAGACACTATTTATATCAACAATAGTGTCATACTTTTGACCTTATTATAAATGCAATGAAGTAAGAAAATGAGAGTTTAGTAGCTTGGCTTCAGATATAAAATATGTGTGTAGGTATATATATATATATATATCTATTTATATATGTAGTGGCACAGATTTTAATTGGCTCATGCATAATCTTGACGTGCATGTCTTATCACTCTGTTTTAAATCACCGTCATTACAACTACAACAATATCAATGATGAGAATAATGGTAATGAAAGAAAGTTACAAATCTGTATTCAATACGCTTTCTTTATTAAAATAGTAGCGTATACTTTCCTGACTATTTTAACAATAATAGTGTTTGAAGTGACTCAACATAATAGGAAGCAATTGTTCACGCTTAATGATGAATTTCGTTCAAATTAAATAGATCTAGACGAAGTGTTTTATTAAGTGGTGATCATAACTAACTGAGAGAGGTTCTTGTGAGAGACTGTGACTGGTGGAGTTTAATCACAACGGGAGTATTTTAATCGTTATTTGTGGACTTCAACATTCCATCAAATTCTTCTTTTTTATGGTCCCCTAATCCTTCTGCTCAGCAACACTTTCGCATTCTAAGTAGTTATTCAACTTCTGTTTAATTTAGAACTATAACGATCTTGTTTATCTATCTATCTATCGATCAATCAATCTATCTATCTACCTATTTATCTATCTGTCGGTTGTGAAATTAATAATGATAATGATAGTATTATCTAAAAATTCGTACGAATATAGTATGTGGTAAGAACGACACTGTCGGAATGATTAATAATAAGAAATTCATGTGGAATGATAAAAATTGGTACAGAGTGGAGATCCATCGAATTGTTCACTGAAAGCCAAAATATATGTCATTAAATCAAAACTAATGCTTTTGCAAAGCCGTTTAACACATCAATTGTATTATAAAATAACTTTGCACTAAGGTGCATCGGTTTCTAGAAATAATAATTGCGTTTTGGATGCAGTCGTGTGTATCTATTTATCTATCTATCTATCTATCTATCAATCCATCCATCCATCCATCTATTGTGTTAGATTATAAATTAAAGAAAGTCACTAGAATGATTTCTAGTAAGTTGAGGAATGACAATGTAGATTACTAGTCGGTAACAATGAGGATACCAAGTTTCGATGTTATTCGTGGTTGCGTAACGTATGCCATAAGAATGGGAGTGATTGATGTTTGATTTTCGCTTCATAGTGTTAATTTTAGTGAATTTTGTAATCCAAGTAAATGCTTTTCTATAAAAGTAGAACTAAACTACTTGACTTATTATTCAGTAGATGAATTTACATGGTTGATTTAACAACGCCACAAAATGATATTTTAATCGATGGAATTGGTTGTTCTGAGCCATCATTTGCATAAACATTTAATTAGATTTGACAATCATCGTTCAACGATATCCTCGTATCTCTTTTTTCTGAATATACAGTGAGCAAGGATAATAGTTAGAGGTGATTCGTCATAGTGGTTGTATATAATTTATTTTGATGTAATGAATTAATGTGTAAATCGTGATATTTTGTTTATGTTTGTGGGTATTACTCTTTAAGTAAATCCAAGCAATGTACAACGCTATGATATCACAGTGTCAACTCCACATATTCCACCTAAATTTTCTCTTAGTTAGTAATGCCAGTATGACGTATCTGGAATCATGAAGGCATGAACAATTCACATGAGATTTAAATCCAAGTATCCCAGTTTCAGATACCGAAACACTGATCTACTCAGAACAACGTGATAGGTGATATTTAAATCACAATGCACTGATTGAATGATATTTCAAATTATTACACGATGGGTAGAGGAATTACTCAAAAGTGATTGATTAATTTGAATGAGTAAATACGTTGACCCTACTATTTTCTTTAAAACTCACGAAATCGACAACACTAAATTCGTCTAGATTTTGACTACCTAATCTAATATCTAACTCGATTTTTGCAATATTTATTACACAATAAACTACAATTCTTGCACGTCACTTATGTAACTGATACTCTGTGAATGACTTCATCCGAAAGCGTTCTCATTCGTGGTTAACGATGCCCACATGCGTAAGAAAGTCAGTGTTCTTTTGAAATAAGCTTCAAACATCGATTACGTGTTTTGAACAACGAGGAGTTATCTCAAAACTGTTGGCTGAATGATCGGATAATGTCAGAAAATGAGCTGTCTTGTGGGTTCAGAGTCAAAATCAACTTGCAGTACCTATCTTGCTCATTTGGACACAGGTTCCGAAGTAGCAACCGGACCTTTGAAACATCATTTTGACTGGCAAAATCAATCTTTTATAGGCCCTCATAACACCGGAACCACATGTTAAAAGTGACATTAGCATCGGGATCTTAATAAGATTCAGCAATACTGCTTGCGAACCCATCAATCGAAGGTGCGGTACAGGATTAGATGTGCTAGATTATGAGGTAGGCGTAATCATTCGTATCTGATAACATCTCGATAGTTTTAGCCACTGCTCTAATAATAATTCCACTTTGCAGGATCCGCGCTTGCGTCAGCCTCGTCGTCACTGCTAAGTTTGAAGAGATTACGATATCAAATAAAACCAATGAACGCAACGAAAGTTAGAAACACAATAATAGAACAAGTTAAGCAATTCCATTGGGCCCCAGTACGGTCTATTTGCGAGAGATGATCAGATTTAGCTCTGGCAAATGTAAATTACACAAGCAGTGGAATGCGCAAACGGACAAGTACACAAATTATGTGTGTATGTGCAATACAAAACAACCTTTGGGAACCGTCACAAAATAGCGCACTAAAAGAGGAAGTTAGTAGGGATGTTTATTCCGGAGACAATCTAACTGGGGTCAGTTACTAGATCATCAAACTGTTAAAATTCATAAATGTCAGATCGTAACCGGCTCTCTAAACTATCTTGAACACACTTTTAATGCTCATGACATAATAATATAAATATGTACATGATAGAATGAGTGGGATGATTTACGTTCAACATGTAACACATGAAGAGGGTCAAAAATGGTGAGCATGGGGACACATAATGCAAATGGCATGGTGCTCCTATGAAGGCACAGTCACTGTGTAATATAGTTATTTTCATATCAGATATATAATTCTTTTAAAACAATTAGTTCCTTTGATAAATTTCGATGATGCAATGAAAAAACGTAGTTTATCAGAATTATGTGATATATTTGTGCAATAAATTTTGAACAATCTGATCACACATATGATATGTGAAAATATGAGATATAATTCTTTCCCCAGATCATACTTATTTCTTCAGAAGTGTTGCACATTGTATTGCTGATTTTAACTATTGGTCGACTCAGTGTAGACAATGGTGTGACTTTCACGTAAGATCTTATGGATTAAGCAGTCTCATCAAAATAAACGTACACTTATCGAAGAGGTCTAGGATTCTAATAACGCGGATATGTGCGCTAGTGCCAAAGTAGACCATAATCATACAATCTGTTTGCCGAGCATAGAACTCTTATATTCTCTTTAAGCAGCATCTTCAGTCAAGTACCCCCATTTGAAGACCTCGACAACTGGACTAGATTATGCAATTTACTTCTGATATACAGCATATTTCTGAGGAAATCAACTTAGTTGCAGTAGTCTGGTCTAGTATAAATACATTTGAACAATATTCAAGTAACCGACCTTCCTCGACTTCGCCAGCTTCAAAATGAAGGCAATGATCTTCAGCTCAAATTGTCTTCAAATATTATGGAACCACGGACCAAACAGATGGGAACAAGTCTAGCCACACTATTATATAGATGACACGAGTCCTAGCGACCGTCTAACGCGCAAGAGCTAACTGGTTGATAGAACGATTTTGCCGGCAGTTGAAAGATTCGTATTCAGCTGCAAAGGTTTCACAGTAGACCAGCGCTCTTCTGCTTGTGTTAAGCCTGACTTCGCACCCTACAAATCTACGCAGATGGTGTGCACCTCAAACCTTACGTGTCCGATAAACGAAAAAAGTGGCCAACTCAGTCGACGAGCAACCCAAACCACTCACTCTCTAATCCGACGCATTTATCGAAGCCAGTACAGCAGGAACATAGTCATGCTCAAATCGTATTATCTTATAGTGTCGATTCTTCTCAGTGACCTATTTAGCGGATCGTTGCATTATTATTCAAATAACTATCATATGCTCATTATCACACTAATGTTGTTTGTATTGACATTAAATTATGACATTCACGCAATTATATTAATCACCGAACTAATTATAATTTTATGAGCATTCCATTCACGTTATGACATTCAAAACTCACTGAACTACTTTTATTATTCAATAATGTAAAAATTTCCTGCTCAAAGTGAGTTCTTTCCAATTGTTTTTCCCTGTCATTTTTGCCTTGTTATTACAGTCAATCACATAGACGAGTTAATTTTTGTGTTATCATGCCACCCATTTTTTATTTCGATATTGCCTTCTACTATGTCTGTAAGTTCCTAACTCTATTAGCCGATTAGTAACGATTATTTTCATGTTATCTATTTGTTCACATGTATAACTGCATGCTGCATTATTCATTACCCATAAATAGTACACTAATCCTGTAATTATTATTTTATTCCCATCGCACTGTATGTCAGAACATAGAGTATAGAGCTGTAATTAGTATAAGCTTTCCAGAATACTTAGACGACTACTATACATAGGACACTGAATAATGCATATGAACACACATAATTCTCATATCATTCTAATTCATTACACTGTAATGTTCGAGGACTGATAAACCTATGAACTATCCGTAATTTCATTCATTTTTGTTCTAACGTCTCGTAAATAATACACTTTTAATTATTGCATTAAAAATATCTATTTTACACCAATTGGTGACT